TCAGTAACAAATGAGAAAATGTTTTGTGTTTCATCAAACCTTTTATTATAGCTCATTTTTAAGCATAATAATTAAAGTGAAGAAGTCTTTATGTCCAGTTTAAGAAATAAATTGCTCCTCTCCTCCTCCCCCTGAAAGAAAGAACTTGCACTAAACCTTCAAAACAGTAGAAGATAATCTGGTATATTGCTCATAGAATAGAGAAGCAGGCAGTACTAGCAATGAAAATTAGATTTAGAGAACTTCAAAATATGCCATTTTTAGCATTCAGACTTAAGAGTGCTAGGAAGAATAAATGATTGGGAAATTTTGGAAAAAGGAGAGAAGAGGAGTGAAAGACACCTATATATGTCTAAAGTCACTGATGTGTTTAGAAGCAGATACCCAGAAACAGAAAAGAAGGGTATGAAGTTTGGAATATGTTGGTACACTGTAAATGTATTATGTGTTTGGAATAGCTGAATTATTCCAAACTGATAAAGCTGTATACATGGTATCATACTCAAGGAATGACTAAAATCTTTCTGCCATAGCACACCACAACATACTAGAATATACACTTTCAGAAGCAACTAGGTCATTTATGACAATCAGTTCCATCTTCAGTTTTAAAAAGTACTGCTACCTTTCCATAGGCATAGGGCTCCCAACCAACTGATTTGACCAAAATAGTACAGTTCCTGGTCACATGGGTACTTCTGAATATTTTAAATTTAATCTTTAATGGAAGAAATTAAAATCTGTCTTCCAAAATTCAAATAAATTACTATTTCATCTACACATTGTGTAGGTTTAGAGCAAATTATGAAGAAAATTCTAATCCAATCGATCTGCTGATTAGAACTGAGATTTGGATCTTTAATGAAGAATCACAATGTGTGGGGTAGTGAGGACTGGAAAAAGACTACACTTTGCTTAAATGGATCATGGATCGCTTCTATGCATTATGTTATACATCATTACTAAGCTACCTCAGGTGAGGAATAGACATGTATTAATTCTTTTAAAAATCTGGAATACATAAATAGCAATTTAATGTCCCTGAATACTTACCTTAAAAGTGAAAATGAATATGTTATCTCAGCTTTTACTAGGTTCAGGAGAATTTGTACCTAGCTTTATTTTTCTCCTCCAACCTCCTCTTTTCATAACAATCTTTACTTTCTAGTTGTCTTGTACTGCAAACGTTCAGAGTTCAGTGGTGATAAAAGATTCAGATGCACTGACATAGATGAACACAAGGAAGTGCAAAGCTGGGGAAATTCCATAGTTAAGAGGGAAAACTATTTACAGATACTTAGAAGTTCAGAAAATCAGCAATCAGTTCAGCAGAAATGGACCAAAGGTCAGATTATGGTCATTACAACAAATCACCACAAACTTCTCACTTGTAAGAACTTCTCACTTAGAAAAATTCCTCGATTCCCTGACGTTTAGGGAGGCATCTGTCAGATGTACAATCATGTACTTCTCAGCATTGCCATTCTCAAGCACTAACTTCAGTCACAGGAAAGAAATAGGTCCTTTCATGCATTTCATTCTAAAGTTGTTGTCTGCTGGCAACAAGTACCAGGGAGCCCACGGTCACAGACACAGATCTGCATTTCTAGAGATCCAAAGTACTATAACTTTCAGAAACCTGCAATCTAGGGATGGGGGACAAGGAATGAGCATAAAGAATATCTGCAAACTGCTTAGCCATCTCAAACAGAATATCATGAGTGGACATAAAGTCTTTAAGGAACTATCTGGCAATGTCTCAGGTCAAAAAGAGCACAGGCAAAGAAGGTATACGGTGAGTAAGCAGTTAAAATGCTGTTACATTTTTAAATAATCTAGGAATGGCTCCAACATAAGGTGAAAGTTTATCCTCAGTTTTTGAAAGATGGTTATCTTCTTGAACAGGAAGACACATGAGGATGGCAATCAGAAGTAAGGATATAGAAACTATCTCAGCCAGAGGAAGAACATTTTGAAGAGCTCACACTGGAACGGCCAGAGAAATGCCATTCTAGAAACTTCAAAGATCTGGTGCATGACAAATTCAGGAAGACCGTTTGAGAAAAAGCAAATATAGCGCCCATTTTGAAAAAACAGGAATTTCACTATGGCCTGAGAACTTGTTTTGGAAGTAAGTGGAAAACAGGATGTAGAATAAATAAATGTGGTTTTATTTTTTCCTAAAGGTAGCATACCTAAGACTATACAGTTTAATAGCAAATCCAGTTGAATGTTTTCATTAATGATTCTGAGGAAAAAAAGAAAAAAAAGGACATCTACTGATAAAATACACTTATGAGGAAAAGTTGTAAGACAGTCTTAGTAGAGAAGGACTGGAATGCTATGCAGAAAGAACAGAGTGACCTTCAAAACTGAAGTAATCAGACCAGAATGAGACTCAGTAGTAGAAAATAAAATGTTATGAACTACATAACAACAGAAATTTCAGCTGTAAACCATGGCTTTGCCAGTTTGCCAGTTGCAATCTCCAATGGCACCCAGCTGTGAAAAAAAGGAAATGCTATCCCAGAATGTATTAGGAGAGCTGACATAGGCAGGTTTTGCTGCTACTGAATTGCAAGACACTGAATCAAACTCATTTCAATGCTTGTTACCTGTGCTCGGGAAAGATGAACCTAATTTTGAACAGAGGAAGGGAAATTATATGAAGGTGAGCAGAAGCTTTGGGAGAATATGCCTGAAGGGGTTTTAGCCCAGATAAAAAGGGCATGATGATAAATTAAACGTGAATATTTTTAGCTAGAAATGAGAAGGTTTGTAGTTATGAAGAGTTCTGAAACTGCCTCCTATTCAGATTGTGTGTATTTGTGGAAACTACTTTGAAGATGAGGGTTAGAAAGTTTATGATAGCAGGGGAGCGGATGCAGCAACCCAGGAGGTATCTTTCAGTCCTGTGCTCCTATATTTCATCTATTCTTAAAATGTCAACCTGGCCACTAGGCAAACCCATTGATTTTAAAGTCTTTGTCTACTTCTAAGATACCGCATAAATTTATTTCACTCCCTTCAATGTCTCCCGACTCTATACTTCCTATTGCTAAATCTGCTTGAGGAAACTTTTGTTTGGGTTACACACACTTGGCATAAACTCTGTGGAGCGAAAAATTGGTTCAGCCCTTGTCATCCCAAATTCATCTTGAAATATGAGGACCCTGGTCTTTTGTTTAAAAAAACTTACTGAAAACTTGCTTACTTTTTGTTGTTGCTTTTCCCACATTTATTTCATCTCAAAGTTGCACATCCTAAAAATATCCTAAATTGCTGTTCAGCTCAGCTGCAGGGCATGTAATGTGTTACATGAAAGGCAATATAAAATGTATTTTACAGCAGTTGGACAACAGTGGAAGCTTTCCCTTTCAATGAAATGGGCCTTCAGAAGGATAACTATTGAAATCAGTAACGTAGTGGGAGTTTTGAGGAATAAAGAACAAATCAATATTTTTCAAGTAAAAAACCTGCCTGTGATTTGCAATTATTTTCATATTTTTCAGCCATTATCTTATTTAATAGATTCATGCAATATATAGGTCTTGCTTCTCAAAGCCATCTACAATATTTTTGCTAATAAGTCTTTACTGCATTGTAAGTGCATCGAATGAGCTTGGGGAAAAAAGAGTTGGCTCCATGCCACTACTTAGGTAGGGTTAGGAGTCACTTGCAAATTCCAAGCAGCAGATTTTCATTAACAGCAAGTAGTAATGTATTTTTGAAGTCATTTTTGGGAATTAAGATGAAGTGTTAATGTAGCAAGTGCTAAAACTACATCAAGCTTTTTTACCAATACACGTTTTTAACTGCTTTTAAAATAAACAAAAGCTAAGCCCAGTTAGTTACTTCATCGTAATAGCTTTTCTTCAAATAACTGCAAAAATCCTGAAGGAACACACTCAATATTTTCCTAATCTTTTTTCATAATTATCAATACAATGTTTACATATACTGCATCTGTAGATTGGAAGAAGTCTGAAGATAGTTGACTGTAGTTTCTTCACTCAATTTTTAAAGCACATGAAATTTCTCAGTGAATAAAACTCTTCTTCACTGTCTCTCAGATCCACTTCCCCACCATCCTTTAGTTTACCTGAGAAACAACTGGCATATTTTTCTTTTTCCCAATACCTTCAGCAGCTTGAAGAATGCTTTTGATGAATTGTCCGAGAGATTTCGCTCTGTCATTAGTCCTCTCAGCATCCTGCCTGGTTTGTTCACCATCTGCTGTCACCTTGGTAGCCTAGTGATCCAAATTCAGGAAAAGTATAATTAATAAACAGGACAAGGCTGCACTGTGTGATAGTCCTACTAGCTGAATCTATGTACAAAATTTTCCTCAGGCAAAAAGCAATCAATGAATTATTGATCAGATGCATGGGAAATGACATGCTCTGTTCAAGTACACAATTAAATTTTATTACCTTTTCCTTTAAATGGAAATCAGAAGGCTTTATTTTAGGTTCTTAGAAACCCCAGTTGTGTGCAAGAGCACACAAAGGGAGATAGGATGAAATTATTTACTGAATATGCTTAAAGAAACATTGTTTGGAACCTTTTAATAGACTCGTCAGGGAATACTTTCCATAGTTTCACAACTGTGCACTTTTCGATTGACGAAATGCAGCAGGTATCATGACCTCTTTGCTTCCTCCCCAGAGGTGCTCTCAAAGAGACAGTTCATGCCAACAAGCAAGAAGAATTTTAAATCAATACATTAATTAGACCAAGAAAGAGAGAGAGAAAAAAAAAAGTAGTTTTTTTCAGCTCTAATGCTTCAAGTTGTTTGTTTACAACATATTGAGGTGCTCAGTAAAATTTTAGCTTTATGTAACTAAATGCTTTATAATTTTATTGAATCACAGCAGCAGTAGCAGGATGAAGACAGACACGTGCTGCAGACCCAAAAAAGATGCTGAGGAAAGGAATAATCATAAGACATTCTACTTAGCTCTCAAGGTCCCTATTTACAAAATGGACCCATTTTTATTACAAAGAAGGAGACGATTTCAAGCAACAAAGCTTGTCAAACTGTACTGTAAAGCAAAAAACCTGATTTTTTTTTTCTCTGAGGATCACATTCCTAAGTAATGTCACAAAGCAGGGCATTACGATCTTTCCAGTCTCTGCGAAATGGCTAGAAGGTCAATAATTCAAAATGAGCTTAGATTTTCCCTGACTTGAGCTATACAAACTGTTTTCTCAGTTACCAAAAAACCTCAGACATTTCAATAATAGTCAAAGAGAAATAGTATCACTTTAACACATTCATTTTTGCCTGATTAGCTTCTAGATGGAAGCCCTCAAGATACATCAGGACAGCTGGGTTTCTGAAATGAAATGAAATCCCTGGCATTATCGTGTCACTTACAGTTTTGGTCTACTTCAGAGTAGTTACTCTGAAAGTAATTTATATGAAAATGATTCAGGTAAATAGAATTATACAGGAGAATTAAGAACTCCTACTGACTAGGGGGAGTTGGTCCTATTTCATCCCTCTATCAGCAGAACACCACAGCTTTTCACATTTATGCAGCTTTAATCATGCTATTGGTTACTTCCTCTAAGATTTACAAAACCCCTTTACCTGCCTGGATACAGAACTGAAATATTGTCACAATGAGCTGTAAGAGGCAATTGGGATAGAAAAAATGCAAAAATACAGAATAGTCTTGATGGACCACTGCTCTAACCCAGCTTGGCATTTCTAATGTCATTTCATTCTGCATGTAATTGAGAACTACCTTATTATTTATTGTCAAATCCTCCACAATCAGCCTTTTATTATTTTGGTTTTATTTGCTTGGAATTTTCACATTAATTTTTATTATATTCCATAATATAATTTTTATTATATTCTATTCCATAGTCTTCCAGTACCTCAAGGGGGCCTACAAGAAAGATGGGGAGAGGCTGTTCAGGAGGGCCAGTTGTGATAGGACAAGGGGTAATGGTTTTAAAATAGAGGGAGGTAGATTCAGATTGGATATTAGGAAAAAATTTTTTACCATGAGAGTTGTAGAACACTGGAACAGGTTGCCCAGAGAGGTGGTGGATGCTCCATCCCTGGAGACGTTCAAGGCCAGGTTGGACGAGGCCCTGAGCAACCTGATCTAGTTGGAGATATCCCTGTTTGTTGCAGGGGGGTTGGACTAGATGACCTTTGAAGGTCCCTTCCAGCCCTAGCCATTCTATGATTCTATGATAATATTTATAAATTCTTTACTACAAACGGTGTTTTATACCTTACATATACTTTTCGTAGTTTTGATTACTTTTCCAACATTCATGTTAATTCCAATTGGCTACCTTAACCTCTCAATATTTATGACTGAAAGATATGTACTACATTTTTGTGCACATTAATCTGTCATTGAACAGTTTTCATTTCCTCTTGGTGACAGTTCTCCTTAGTACTTAAATCCCATTCAGCTCCACTGAAGGCTTTCTGTATTTTGTCATAATTTGCTTTGCTGAAAAATAACCATTCACTTCATTAATTCATTTAGCTTTAACTCCATAAACCAAATTAAATGGGAAATATCCTTCACACTGTACCTAGCCATTTTGTGGCTAACTAAATGTTCTCCTTTGTTAGTAAGTCCTACTCATTTTCTATGTACTCAGTTTACTACAGTTCACCATTTCTGTAAGGTCAGTCTTCATCATCTCCTAAAAGTTTAAGGAGGCACAACAAACTCTTTTCGGGGGTGCAATAAGAGTCAGGCAGACTGGACCCAGAGCAAGGGGTTGAAATTAATGTTCAAGAAGTTTGAACAAAAATAAGACTTGAGGTGGGCCTGTGAGAACCTAATGAAGTTCAAAAAGGCCAAGTGCAAGGTCCTGCATGTGGGTCGGGGCAATCCCAAGCACAAGAACAGGCTGGGCAGAGAATGGATTGAGAGCAGCCCTGAGGAGAAGGACTTGGGAGCGCTGGTGGATGAGAAGCTCAACATGAGCTGGCAATGTGTGCTGGCAGCCCAGAAAGCCAACTGTATCCTGGGCTGCATCCAAAGGAGTGTGGCCAGCAGGTCGAGGGAGGTGATTCTCCCCCTCTGCTCAGCTCTTGTGAGACCCCACCTGCAGTACTGCGTTCAGCTCTGGGGCCCCCAGCACAAGAAGGACATGCAGCTGCTGGAGTGAGTCCAGAGGAGGGCCACGAAGATGATCCGAGGGCTGGAACACCTCTGCTATGAAGACAGGCTGAGAGAGTTGGGGCTGTTCAGCCTGGAGAAGAGAAGGCTCCGGGGTGATCTTATAGCAGCCTTCCAGTACTTTAAGGGGGCCTACAGGAAAGCTGGAGAGGGACTTTTTACAAGGGCGTGTAGTGATAGGACAAGGGGTAATGGCTTTAAACTGAAAGAGGGTAGATTTAGATTAGATATAAGGAAGAAATTTTTTTCTCTGACGGTGGTGAAGCACTGGAACAGGTTGCCCAGAGAAGCTGTAGATGCCCCATCCTTGGAAGTGTTCAAGGCCAGGTTGGATGAGGCTTTGAGCAACCTGGTGTAGTGGAGGGTTTCCCTGCCCATGGCAGGGAGGTTGGAGCTAGATGATCTTTGAGGTCCCTTCCAACCCAAACCATTCTGTGATTCTATGGAAGTCTAGTAAAGAAAGTATTGGAGATCAGTGAATCTGCTTTGGTGATGTTTACAGCTTGTACTTAGTGATGAAGGTTCCATTGAAGGCCTTGTCCCAATCTGAAGACTATTAGCCATAAGAAACTCCTCTGGATGACATCTGGCAGGAAGCCCGATGGGAATTTCTCCATCTAGTGAGATGCAGGCCACAGGAGAAGTAAATACAGACCTCACTGTACAGATGGAAGTTCTTGGTTCTCCCTCCAAATCCTTCCAACTATTGCAAACTAATTTGCCTCTGCTACTACTTTCAGAAATTTTTGAGCCTGAGAAATTCAGTGGTATGGGAGAAATGAAAAGTTTACAAAGTGAAAAGAAGCATTTCAATCAAGAGGAGTGATTCTGATCCCTGTCTTTCTTGAAGGGTCTTACTAGAAAGAAAGAGGGAGTTTTGACTCAAAGTAGTGAACTGAAAGAAAGCGAAGCGTCTGAGGTCTGCCTTTGGTGGTAGATGTGGGAATGTGCACACAAACATATAAGGACATAGCGTAAGAAAGACGTGAGGATCTTCTGTATAGCAGAGTGAATGAAGGGAAGAATATGATGGAAAAAAAGAAAAAGGAGTGCTGCACTGATGTAAAGGGATCAGTGGTTGAAAGGAGACGACTAGGAAGCAAAAGCCCCAAAGGTTTTGTAGTGACTAAATACTATCATGTTCTACATTTTATGTTAAAACGGACACATTTTTTTCTCACGGAAACAGACTCCTCACCAATCCTCATCAATCTTTTTCTTCATCGCTACTGGTTTCACTTTGAAAATATAGTGAGCCTGCAAACCTGATTTGGGGAAAAACTTTGCTATCTGTGGTTGTACCATGTCCTCCAAGTGTGAGCCATTATGTGGTTATCAGCTATATCTTCATTTGGAAATAAGACTTGAACACACTACATCAGGACTCACTCTTCTTTTTGGGACATTACTCCTATTTACAAACATAGAAAGAAAAGGGTAGGACTTGCCACCAGTTGCCAGTCCCCAAATTAAAAAACTCAACTGCAACCCAGTTAACAATTCTCTGTAAGGACAACCGGAAATCATAAGGCTACTCAGTCATTGCAACAACAGAAAACTGCAGAAAGGGAAGCAGTGACCATGTGGCCACCACACTAAATCAATATTTTTCCTTCTAAGACTAGTCTACAGAAGGTCAGGATTTGCAACATTATTTTAGGTTACCTCCACTGGGAATTCAAATTTATTTAATTTTTGGTGAAGGTGGTGGTGGGGTTAATTTGAAAAGGATACTAGAAAGAGCAACTATGTAAAGGAAAAAAAAAATTGTCTTAGTCAAAGATTGAGAAATCTTAATACAAGAAACATACAAGACATATAATCTTCCCTGCTTGTAGGGCCATCATAAGTTAAAAATCCTCCTAGACTTAAAACTACCACAGTTATCTCTGGCAGAAAAATGAAATACCAAACAGAAGTTAAAAAAACAAGCTTTCTTTACAATCACAATGTCAGCATGTATAGATAGACACCTGCGTACGCACGTGTGTGGGTGCACAGACAGACACGTACGTGCACACGTACACAGACACACTACAGATGCTTTCTGACCCACTACCCATGATTTCATAGTTTTTTTCGAAATTGAATGTAATCCACACAGACAAACTAGTTTCTCTGAGAATTTTAGTCTGTAAGCCATGAACAATTTTAAGACAGGATGCTAAAACTGCATGGAGTTCAGGTGAATTCTCTCAGGTGTATATTCTTTAGTCCAGTAATCCATGTCTTTCTTATTTGGCTATTTGAATGCAGGGGAGAACAACTCACGAACATGATTTTTGCTAGTCCTTCATATTAATACATTTTGGACAGCTGTATTTTTATCGTGGCTAGTCCATTTCCCTATTTTTTCTCCACTAGGTGGCACAATTTATACTAGTTTCTTAGACAATGTCTTTCAGTGCTCAAACTAAAGTCTACACTGAAATAAAACTTTCATAATAAGAAAAGCAAATAGCACATCAGTTGAAATCCAGAAGACTCTCACTACCCTCCTAAATGAACTATAGACACAGATATTCAAATAAATTCACACACCTTGTGCATATATTTGAATTCTCCCTTTAAATACTGTCCCCATTTCAAGGACTTCGTTCATTGACTTTTAATGAGACTTTGTTAAACTAGGACTTCCATAGCCTTGCTATAAAATTTCTTGAAAACAAGTGAATCAGACTAGGCTACCATTTGCTCTACAGCTCCTGGAGAAAAAAGCCAACACAACGGATAAAGCAAAACAGAAAATGAAACCGTAGAACAGCAAAACTTTTCCTACAATATGCTGGAGATGGAGGGGCACTAAGTAACTCTGAGTGAAGCCAGGCTACTTTTATTGCAACAGGCAATCTCAAAAGAGAATCGGGCTGAAAACTGTCTTGAGACTGTAAGACTCAGGAGATTTGAAAGGGAATATGATTAGATGATGTTGCTGATGCAGAACACAGATAGTCTTATTAGAGACAGTACTAACCTTCAGAAGAAAAGAGAGGAAGCCCGGCAGTTCAGTTTCTGAAAGCCCTAGCCATTCAAAGAAAAACTCTAGACGTGAGAAACTGGTAATTCCATGGTTTTGTTGTCATTGGGTTTGTAACATAACCTGTAGCTGAAGCCATGGGAAAACCCGTAATTGTGAAATCAAGAACTGTCTCTCCTCTAATGTCAGCTTTTCCAAATAGGCTCATTCTTGGGTGCTCTATATGAGCATTATAAAGTTTTCTTACAGAATTATGAAGTTTTGCAGAAAATATATCTCAATGTACTGGCCCATAAAAAGAGGTTGCTAGAGGACTTGCTGCCAATTCAAAGACTGAGACTGAGAAGCATCTTAAAATTCATCTATTCATTCATGTTTAATTCATATTCAGAAGATTTCTGTCATGACACAGCCTTAACCAAACTCACAGACCCCAACGTGATCATAGACTTACTCTTGTCAGTAGCTCGTCCATTTCTGTCACCAGGGTATCCAGATTTTCTTGCGCTAGCTGAAGTAGTCTCTCTGGTGCTCGTTGAGGTGAAAGCAAATGCTGTTGGGGAAGAGAGGAGGGAGGGTGAAAATCTGTATTTAATGGATCTCAGAGCTTCCAAATATTGTAGAGAAGCAGCATCAAAAATTTCCTTTTCATTACAGTATGCAACTCCCTTTTGTCATTGACTCTTGTGTCACATCCATCCAACATACTTTTCTCAGGAATCTTGACAGCTTTACATAGTTTAGTGGAGAACCTGTAAGTATGGCAGGGAGCATATAGTATATAAAATATATAACCGCTTTATGGACCACCAGCATGAACGCTATTTTATTTGTACGCAACATCACTTTTTCTGTGCCTGCAGTATAATTCCTTGCATATATGTACACAAATTACTGCTGCAAGATTTATTTATTAAAATAAGCAAAAATAAATAACTGTAATAACTATTTATCAATCAAAGCAAGTTTGAAGTAATTAAATCTTGAATTTTCCTTCTCTGAACCTACTCATGGCTGTATGTTTGAACAGATTCAAGTACAGTTGTACTGAAGTCCTGTTATTTATGTGTGTCAATACTGTGAACATACCTTTAATTCTTGTGTCATGTTCTCAAAACCATGCAACGCTTTATATGGAGCAGGAAGTGGACCACTAAGGTTAACACTCAGTATCATCTGGTTTAGCCTATCCAGATCACTGAGAAGGAGTCCTGTGCATTCATCATCACAAGCTGGGTGGAAGAAGAACAAAGCTTATTTATTCCTGCTAAATGTTTAAGACATATGTTTGAGTTGGAAATTTTACGTCATGCATAAAATTCTGTGAGAGGTAACAATAATTTCAGATAATTTACCCCAAAAGAACAGACCTTATTGCTTAGGACTGAGTAATGGGACAGTTTTATATAAAACATGAATTGCAAAATTGTTAGGCTTACCTCACAAAAAGAGGAAATAACTAATGTTGTCCATTATGGATTAGCCAATATAAAATCCTAAATTAGACAAACAATTTGGATGAAGTCTGAGAAAAGCGGACAGGTAATTTGGAAAATCTACGGAGCACTTTATGAACTATAGTATGGTTGTGGATTTGAACGGAAGAAAAAAACTGAAGAAATCTTACAATTTACATGATTTATAGTCATATAACAGTATGGCCAAGCATGCTAAGCTTGTAATGCAGACAGTAGAAAGAGTCCAGGTAAAAATACTGATAGCTTTAAGAAACGCTTTTCCCTATCTCCTTTTACTAACCAGCTTGTAAGTTTTTCATGTATATTTCCTTTCTGGCAAATACTCTTTAGCATGAAAAACACTGGTGTATGCTGCATATACAGGACTGGCAAACCTAAACAACATCTCAGGAGATGGAGTAAACTGTGAAAGAATGAATTCACTGTTGATGTTAAGAGACATGGAGGGTTGTACCTAAAATTTTAGAAATATGTAATTATTTACTCCAGCAACACTCCTAGGCAGCTCAATGGCTAAAAAAACCCCTAAACAACATGTATGTTTTTGTAGAAAAAGAAAAGAAATTTTCCACAAAGAATTATTTTTTTTCATGAAATCTATTTTTCATGTAGATTAAATCTGTTCTGTTCTTTAAAATTTTCACAGTTATCTAAACGTTCTTATTCTGTAGGTTGGCTGTTCGATATAGTGAGAAGTTGTGTCAAATACACAGAAAAGAAGAATAATGAATACTGGTTACATTATACTATTAAACTAATACTAATATACCGTGAAACTCATGCGATGATTGAAAAGGAGACAAGATAGTGCAGTAAGAATTGGGTGCAGAAAACTAGATACTGTTATTTTAAGACTTCCTTTTGCATGTTCATTTTTTCCATTTGCAGACTTCTTCCTCCTATTTCACAGTATTTTGTTACACAAGCTTTACCGCACTGGAACTTCCCTGCAGTTGTTAACTGTGGGCATAATACATTCTGACTTATGTTTCTACGTGATTTTTTTTTTTTTTTAAAGTTTATTACCATCCCAGGCTTGTAATGTATGTGCTTGCTTTTAGAAATCAGAGAGAATTAAAGGAAAAGCAAGTTTTACAGCCAACTGAATGTTTTATATAGCAAACACCTGTTCTGTAGCTGCTCAAGAAGGTAAGTAGACCTTAATCATTTTGCAGGATGCAAATATGTGATCTTGGACCTGAAAAGAGTTGGTTTTGCTTGTTTAGTTGTTTTGTGTGTTTTTTTCTGATACATTATTTCACTCATGAAACAAGCTAAATCTATTCACCCTCAAAATTGTCAGAGTGGTTGGTAATGAAATGTTAAAAATTTGCTATGTGTTTAAGACAAACTCAATTCACACCAATAAGAAAAAAAAGAACGGCTTATGAAGAGATGAAGTATTCACAATGAGTAAAGAATTGATAAGTGAGCATTCAGTGTAGATTAACACCTCTGGCACAATAATCAGGTTGAAAAGAGGAACTACGTCAAGTGAGGATCACAGTTGAGTAGATGAGACAGGACTAAGCTACTCCAATATGCAGCCTGAAATGTACTGTAGCTACAGGAAACGAAATTTCAAGAGCATGATTATATTTTATAAGACTAAATATTTCTGTGTCTATCTATAAAACTGTCAGGACAAATTCGTGTCTAATATTAAAAAATGCAGCACTAAATTCAGATCATTACAGCAGTGCAAGCATGTAAGAGGCAAACTGCAGTCAATATTACAATAGTCCAGCAAGCAATTACTGCAAATTACTGCATTTTCCATTTTCACCACACCTTCCCATGCACAGTAAGTCCTGTAAGGATTTTGACTTACCTCTTGTAAGAAGCACCTCCAAAGAAGCATGCCAAAGAAATTTTTTTTTTAAAAAATGCTTAAGTAATAAAAGACACAATAGGTTTATGGACATCTGACCACTTATTCCATCTTACAAAAAGAAGATAACGTACAATAAAGGAATCACATGTCTGAGCCATAATGTGTTCCTCCAGTTGAGTGATTCTCTAACACAATTTTGCTTTAATACATTCATTGCTGTTAAGATTCAGAAGACTGTGCTATGACTAGGTCATTTTTGGTCTAAGGGTAACCATGCAATCTTTGACATGAGGTGGTATTCTCTGACAGTCAGTGACTCTTCAGTATTAATTTCCTGTTGCTTCACAATAAAAAAGTATTAAACTATTGTTAGACTCATTAATCTCTTGGCTGTTACCCCATTTTTCCTATTTTGGCACTGGTCTCACACCAAAAAAGAAACAAGCCCTCCTCTGCCCTGCAAAACAGAACCCCTGCAGAAAGCTGAAAGCTTTAGCTTCCTTGCCATTGCTGCTGGTTTCAGGCAGTTTGCATGATCAATGTGTCTCCAAAATCTGGGAAGTGAAGTGGAATGTCACAAGGTATAACAAAAAATACAAAAGAGAATTATTAATCTAAGAAAACACATGATTGCTACAGGCTGATCCAAAATCCCTTGTAGCTCCTTCTTTCCGCTTCAGCTTGCTACGGTCAAAGCTCTTTGGGAAGGATGAGAAGGAAGCAATACATTCTTTGGCTTGTTTACATATTTCTGGTATGTATGCGTAAAATATGAATCAAGTAAATACTAACGATCTCAGTCTGCCTGAGCATGCTGGATAAAGACGAACCGAGGAAAGGCTGCTCCTGATCATCACACAACTTGTCTGTGTTCTGGATTGGAATGGTGAGGTTTAACTAAGAGGAAATACACATCTTCAATACTGCAGTGATTATAGGCCAGTCAGTGTCTGCCAGGTGACAACTTTCAGCAGAATAAGCATTGAAATATATTTATCACAGTAAAAATGAGTGATGCATAAGGGGGCATAAATCATTTACAGGACGATTCATTTGTAGTTACAAATAAAAATAAAAATCCGTAAGCATTAGAGATTTGGGAGAACTTTTGTCATATTTGACAGTATACAAGGATGTTGGCAGCATTACTAAAATTAGTTTGCAATCGTTACTAATTTTCTTATTGGCTACTGACAGTTTCAAAACAGATGGGAAAGCGAACTTAAGAAGTGGATTATTTGAGATCAAAAATCACAAGGAAGCTTTCATCAGCAGAGTATTACGATTATCTACATGACAATCTAGAAGGTCACTTTAGCTGGGGAAATAATCCAGTTATTAACCATACTAATGCAAAAAATTTAGAATGTTTATGATGTGTAGTAGACCAGACTCTTGAATTCCTTATTAAAAAAAAAAAAAAATCTACATTTTGGATATCATTTTCGATTCCCTAATGGTATCCTAGAGAAAACAACATTGTTCTGTTCTAATATAATGGGAAGCGAATTCTGTCTGTGCCATTCACCTGTATTTATCTTACCATTGTTATTTGGCAGTAAACAAAATCTTCCCCTTTGTACAATGGCTGTTAAAAAATATATTCTTTTTCCATTCTACCGGTAGGTTTCTAAAATATAACTTTTATAACATAGTACTGAAACGTGGCATGCACTAAGCAACTGAAAAACAACACATTGTGAAAAAAAACAGTAAGAAGCTGATAAAACAGACTTTTCAGCTATATCAGAAATAGATCACTTTAATGAACACGCATGCTCCTCCAGATTTTTTTCTGTCTTTTCACTGAAAATTTTCACTCTAAAATCTTTAGAATGCTTATGATAAGGAATATGTTAAAATATGAATGTTATACTTAAACAACAATAAGTTACAATGTTGTGGCTAAAATACCTCTCTAATTGGATTTAAACATGCATTGTTTAGCTTTCGTGTCATACTGTGTGGTGATCTTTTATAGAATTTGCCAAAAAATTCATTATTCAGATGGTTATTCTTTGCTAAATATTCAAAATCAATTTTCATTTTCCTAAATACTAACTATAAAATGCTAACATTGGACAGCTTAATCACACTATGTTTTATATTACTTACAAATACTTTTTTTTAAAACATGAGTGATTGTATTTGCATATATTTTCTTTAAGCTAGACCATTTTACCACCTAACTAGGGGTTCTTCACACTTCTGACAAGCATAATGCAATTGCAATATCTGAAATGGAACTCTGCAAATGAGCAAAAGTAGATACATGCATACAGCTCATTTGAAATATGGAATGCAAACAGGATTCTGCATATGGCATTAATTTTCTGTACACTTAGAGTACTTAATCACTATTATTATTACTGTTAAGGTTTTGTTACAACTCAAGCTAGTCGGAAGGGAATTTACTGAGTATTTTGGAAGTGGCTGATACACAAAAATAAAAATATATTGTGTACGGGACCAAATTCTCAACGGCATTAAAGTCTGATGGGAAGAGATAAATGTTCTAGGAGTAAGAAAGGACAGCTTCAAGGTTTCTCCAAAGGGTGTTTCTAACGGTTCTTTGACAGCACAATGACTATTAAAGCACATCAGGGGCTGCAGCAATGAATCCCTATCAGAAGATAACAGCTGTACTCCACAGCCCGTGACATATGAGACAGTGTTAATCACAGGCAAATTCCCACCAAGGCTATGCTTGCCACTATGCCTTGGTCGACCACAGCCCCTGTGCCCACCACAGGCTACAAAGGTCAATGGTTTACTGATCAGGATGGTTCTCCACCGTATTAGGGGTATTGCCCTGCATTACCAAAGGTGGGTTTGGAGTAATATGGGGTTGAGGAACTTTTAAACAAAGGGAAAATCATACAGTGAGAGAAAACACACATCAGGTGTCTACTGAAATCTTTAATTGCAGTTCTTGCAATTTATGACAGGGATGTTATTGATGTGGTGTCAATAGTAACAGACAAGTTCCTGGGTCAGGGTGATTTAAAGTACCTCCCATCTGTTCCTACACGTGTTTCCTATTTTCATGACTAAAGGAAAGAAATCTTTTCATTTGATTCCTCATTTTTAGCAATGACATGAAATGAGTATATGCACATGCAAAGGACTGTTTTTAAGGTGAAAAATGATTATCTAGTTAAATAAAAAATGCCGCTACAGGTAGTGCAGATACATTTCAAGACTGGCACGTGAATATGTTGCAGTTAAATCAGAGATTATAGCAAACCACATCTTTCATAGCAAAAAGGTGGAAGATTTGATTTGCCTGCACACAGCTTTTCCCGTTCATAGTGAGGATTTTTAATGTTATTATCCACACAATGAAATAGTCTGATTAACAAATGGGAAAATCATTACAGATGAAAACTTGCACTTAAGCTGTTTTCTACAAAGAAACTCTGCCATCGTGAATGTCCAAAAGGCTTTTCAGAATACTGAGAAGGTAAATGATCAGTAAAAAACATACTAAGTGGCATCTGAGATTGAAAACATTGGCTAGTATTGGAAATAGTATTAGTATTGAGCAACTTGTTGTAGTGGAGGGTGTCCCTGCCCATGGCAGGGGAGCTGGAACTAGATGATCTTTGAGGTCCCTTCCAACCCAAACCATTCTATGATTCTATGATAAATAATGTAACAGGTATTCAGGATCTTGAAAAATTGAGTAATTTTTGTTTAGATGCCACTCTGGGAAACAGTCCTTACTTTAAAATTTTGTAGCTGTAACATTTATGGACTTAACTCATGATTATAATTCTCCTTGATATGTAGGCCACAAGATGGAATCTAAAGTGTAGTTATTTTAGCACAGTAGCTACTTACTCTATTTACACTCATTTTGCTGTAGTTTAAAATAGAGCTTAAGATATACGATAGTGCAGAATTAAGTCCTAAACTACATCACGCTGCAGGACATTAGAATTTCATTTCCCTTAAGTACACTAAGCTTTTCATCAATGGACCAATGCCATATTATTGATAACAGAGAAACAGAGGTATTTATGCCTATATTCCCAGTAATCTTTCTATTAATTTCCAAAGAAGACTTGTAATTGGGAATCAGGACTGATGCAAAAGCACTGAACTCAGTAGTTCACATTTAGAAGCTTAGTTCTTCTAAGTCGTGATCACTTTCTGAGAGCTGATGACAACCATTGAGTGAAACAATGTTCTGTAGTGCGTAGTCCCTGACCCTACGTGCCTACTGTCTTCCTCTTTAACCACTCAAAGAAGCCATACATTTCATTCTTGACTGTTACAATACCTTCAGCCATTTTTCAGCTGTACTAGCTGATTTTAATATTAGAGAGCTGTACTGAATGCGTTCTGTGAAAAAAAGAAAAAAGAACGTTTTTTTGGTATCTTCTTGTCTTGACATTACATATCCCTCACAGAGGGACACCTCTCTCCAAAACTAAAAATCTCCAATTAAAATCCTTTAACAGACAAAAATCAGATAGAACATTAAAACCAGTTCATTGTGCCTTGCCAGTGTATTCAAAGATGCACAGATTAAGAAATATTATACATTGAGGACTTTTTGGATCTCTCCGTATTCTACTTTAAAACGAACAATGATGGCCTCGAGGGGGGGAAAAAAAAAATCACAATAAAATTACTTTCTACTCAGCTGGGAGAAATAGAGGAGAGGAAAATGCCCTATTTCAGTTAGGATTTACTAAGCGTTCTAGAAAGGTTTTGCTACCTGATTTTTTTTTTTTATAAGACATAAACCTACAATATCGTGGGAAATAAGATTGTGGGCTCAAAGCAAACGCTATCTAATTTCATGGGAAAAAAATCCAAACAATAATAAAAGACAAGACCCTTAGTACACATCAAAACTGAAGATAGGGTGAAGATACCAGTACTGTAAAATGTAACTTGGTGGTTTAGGCTGGATTGGCTATTACTTTTCCGTTTTAAACAAAGGAAGTTCTTTGTTCCTGGATATATCGTACTGTCATTCCTTACATCTTTTAAATACCAATGGGTGGTTGTTGAATCAATACAACCAAGTAAGCCTTGGCAAAAACTTTGTGTGGCTCATGGCATAGAGCATTGCAATTGCTGGTTAAATGTTTAGGACAACACTAAAAAATTCACTAAGAGCAAATATTGTCACAACAGCAGTGACAAGCTTTAGCAAAACTACAGACTTAAAAAACCCACAAAAAGAAATCCTTCAAAGCTTTGTTGTCAAGTTTCAGTGAGCATATTAAAGTATTGAGAGTTTTCCTAATATTTCAAGGCATGTGAAAAAAAAAAAAAGGACCAGAATGCCAAAGTAGTAAGAAACATGGCAACTATTTTCAAAGAAACCCACAGAACTGACTGATGCACAAGCAGGGTTGAATTTCTGAAACATGACAAACACAATCAAAAACTCTCCAAAGTTACATTAGTATACGTACAAATGCATTTCATGCCATCACGCGCATGCCGATGTTCACAGCCAGCACACTTCCACCCTGTGAATCCAGGCCTGCAAGTGCATTGTCCAGTGACAGGGTCACAAGGGACAGGCAGGGAACCGTATGGATCACACTCACATTCCTGGCAGGAGCCTCCTGGAGTCTGTGGATTTCCCATGTAGCCAGAGGAACATCTAGATGTTGCAAATACAAAAGCAGGTTTGGCCAGTTAAGATGCAGAGTTTACTACAAGCAATACTTGGCAAGATTGTAAACAAAACGTATGTGAACATTCTATCATGAACCATTTAAAAATCTTTGGTGCTTTATGACTCAGTATGCCTTTTTAGAGGAAGAAACGTATCCTACAAACTGATAATGGGCGTAATCTTTTAACCCAGGACATGGAACAGTCTGGATGGAAGAAGTATGCAAAAGTCATTCCACAATCCTAATAGTTTTCAGTTAAATTTCTATTATATATGACAAAAAAGTTTCTGCATTAGCAATGTTTGGTCTATAGATCTGTTTTTTTCCCACTAGTCGCTTGTGTTTTGTTAGAAGTGACATCTCATAGTAGACATTTGCTCATTTTCATCATCTTTATTCGACAGCGTTGCTATGGATGGGACAACAGCTGCTGTTTAGGTTATCAATTTGCAATTTTGTCTTTAATATGCTTATATGTAAGTGTCTTTCACAGTCAGTGCCCATGAGGACACAATAATCACTAGAACAAAGGGTATGAGTGACATCAAGACACACTATAAGCATGGTATCTAATTTTAGATAAATTTTGTGGGTTTTGGTTTAACTTCTGAGGCCCAGGGGGAAAAATCCTGCAAATCAGAAAGTAAGAGTAGGACAATATCTGTGATATAAGTAACGCTGATTATCAATTCGCAGTGGGTATACGTAAAAAATTGCCTACTACAGCTGAATTTTAACCACACATAAAGAGGAAATAACTTATCCAAAGATGGGTATTTACTCATTAGTAAATCTGTATTTGTAGTATTGAAGGACATTGCTCTTCTTCATGTCTTGCCCGCCTTTCATTGTCCCTCTTTCTTCTTTTTCCATTCATCCTACCTTTCACAGTACTGGCCTTCATATCCAGGTGGGCATGCAGTACACCGGTAATCACCATGTCCTTCCGCAACACAAGAAGGGCTAAAACTAAAACAAAAGCAATTCAAAAACTTTCTCCACCTCTATTGCATCATTTCACTCTAGTCAGCTGTGCAGAAAGGTCCATGGTAAGCTCCACTCCTAATGTAAATAGCAGCTTTTTCTTACCTGTTTATAAACACCTGTAGGAGATCCCTCCTTTGGATTAAGAATTTTGTGAATGCCTTGCTGTGATACTGGCACAGTTGAGGCAAACGCTGGAAGGGTAGAATCAGCGAGGGTCATATCAGAGGGGATAGAGTCAAAGCCACCCATGCTGTAGGCTTGTGTGATTGAATGGTGCTGTCACTCACTGTGATCAAGAATAGGAAGTAACGGGAAGGATGCAAACCAAAAGATTCAGAAACTGAGGGCCCCTCGCTTTAAGAGAGATATTGAGCTCCTGGAGTGGGTCCAGAGAAGGGCGACTAAACTGGTCAAGGGGCTGGAAAATAAAACTTATGGGGAGCAGCTAAGGGAGTTGGGGCTGTTTAGCCTGGAGAAGAGGAGGCTGAGGGGAGACCTGATTACAGCCTACAAATACTTGAGAAGGGATGGTGGGGAGGTGGGGGAAGGGCTCTTTAAATTAGTGATGGGTGATAGAACAAGAGGAAATGGGTATAAGCTTAGTCAGGGGAGATTCAGGTTGGATGTTAGGAAGTATTTCTTCTCTGAAAGGGTTGTCAGCCACTGGAATAGGCTGCCCAGGGAGGTGGTTGTGTCCCCATCCCTGGATGTGTTTAAGAAAAGGGTGGATGAACTACTTAAGGATATGGTTTAATGGGAGATTAGGGATGGTTGGAATAGATGATCTCTAAAGTCTTTTCCAACCTAGAAATCTATGAAATCTATGAGCTAACAAACATCCAGCCTTTCCAGTCTGATTTAATTTTAGTTTGAATAAAAGGAGATAAGCTGAGAAGAGTTTACTCAAAGGTAAGACATAAAGAGGGAAAAAGGAACCAAAGCCATAGCCATGTGGAATCTTCAAACCGGCAGTGTCAGATGATCTTCTCACAGATGTACTGAAGAGAAAAGACTAATCTATCGAGAAAAAAACCCTAAAAGCTACCTTCCTCATGATCAGGAAGGAGTCATATTTTAATCACAGAAAGCACTAGATTGTTTTTACTAAGCCATGACTCAGGATGAATAACTAGTGACTGCAGAGTGCAACTATGGGAACTGTGCAAAAGTAGCATGTTGCTGAAACATTAGTGCATTAAGTGCACTAATTTAAAACATTAAAACATAGCACAGACATTTAAAACTAACAAGAAGGGTAGTTAGGGAAAAAGAAACAATTAAATATTAAGTTGGTGCAATACTGTAAAAGTCATTCAGCTCTTTGTGGAAAAAGAACCAGAAAAGCACAGAAGTGGCTAGTAGTGAGTCCAGAGCACTTTCTTGGTACAATACAGTCAGCATCCAACTCTAACTTGCTTATAATGCATTAAATCAATAGTGCTTGAATGTGTATACAAAATTACACCTTTGCAAAAAAATTTAAACAAATTGATCTATTACAAACTCATTATCCAACACATTTTCAACTCTATAAAAATAGATCTCCACCCCCAGGAACTCTGTTCTTTTTTTTTTTCCCCTTTTTTTTCAGCTCACCGTGTTTGAAGCTGACTGCTGTTTGTACAGGAGTATAAAAGTAGCATTTAAAACTTTAGTGGAGTTTTGCAAAATTTCATAAATAAAAACAATTGCACTACGCTCATTCAAAAATATTGTCATGTCAGTCATGACATAATAAGCTAATGAGATAGCTCATTAGCTATCTGCATTTCATGTAGATTACTAGACTACCATATGATAGCTGCAGGTAGGTAGTTAGGTTTTTTCCTTCATAATATGAAAAAGGGTACAACTCAGAAAAACTTACAGTTAAGACCACATTATTACTTTCTGAGATAAAGAGTATTTCTCTAAGTCCCCTTTGTAATTGTTTGGGTTGTTCTGAGTTTGGTATTTACGAGGTCTGGAAGTCTTAAAAACACTTGCTGTGGATGAATGATCATGATGGGTTTAGTGACTGATGTTTGAGAAAGGGATTCGCTCCTTCAAAATAAACTCCTGACCACTCCGAAATGATAACACGAAGAAGAAAGAAGAAAAAAAACCCCATCTCTCAGATATACTGGCTGAAATACTCAGTAAAACATCCTAGAGGTCAGACAAAGCACAGAAAAATGGTTTTAAGGAACACTTCCAATCATTCAAGAAAACAATCATGAAACACAAACCTTTTCAGAGCACTACTGTGGTATGATTTCAAAAAATTAAGAACTTCTCAGCAAAACAACAAACAAATCTCAAGTGCTAATGTGTTCTGTTGGGAACACACGTGGAGACATAGTGGCAAGGCTCATTATCATAAAGTAACCAATAAAATTTATGCTGCAATAACTATATTGCTTTTAAATTATTCTATCTTTCACAAATTGCCTAAAACTCATGTAACATTAAATAAGGAATCAATAAATTCCACAGTGGAGCAAGAAAGGCACTGTAACGCATTTATATCAACATAATATATGAGCGTAAGACTTTTTACAGCTCCCTTGTGGCTATATTGTACTTGAGTTCTGCTCTAGCTTCATTTGTCAGAATACCTTTATAACAGACATTCATTATCTGTTGAGTATTGTATTTTCTAGCACTTATTAATTTATTCATCACAAATTAACAAGGGAACAATTTCCGACTTTTAAAGGAAGATCAATTAGCAAAAGCGTATGACTCCACACGAAGCAGTTCTCCTGTAGCCATCTGAAAAAGACACAGAGAGCCCAAAACAAAGTTCTTGCTTGCTGGAAAGGTAATTCGTGTCATGAGTTTGCTTACTTGTTGCTAGAAACGGACAGGGGACAAGCACAAGGCTGACAGTCATCTGGAGAGCCTTGGACAATGCCATAAAATCCCAGCGCACATCTCTCACAGTGGTGACCAGCGGTATTGTGCTGACAATTCTGCAGAGGAAGGAGACACAATGAAAGCTGTATTTGATAATTACAAGAAAGCAGACAACATTTTGTTCCCAGCCTCAGGGATTCCAACTTATTTCGATTCATAATTTCTCTCTCCCTGATACGATTCGCAGTGGGATTGCTTGCTTTAAGCATCTATCAAATGCCTGCTGAGTTACATATGGGTTTACAAGGAGAAAGAATGGAGGCCTGTAGCTAGCCAGATGTATCCTACGGAATTTCTTATCCTGTTCATCCTTCTTTCTCTCTATTGTTCCAGCTGTTGAAGGAGGAGAATCAATTAAAATTCAATCTGACTGTCTCAGGTCACATCTACAAGAGAAGTACAGTGTTTATTCCAGACACATGGTACATTGCTGCTTTACTTTGCAGATATTTAGTTTTTCTTTTTACACAAACAGTAATTCAGAGGCAAAAAAGCACTTCATAATCTGAACTCTAGAAAATCAGAATGGAAAACTTTAAAAGCAAATGGTTTGCTTTTTTGACCTCCCTTTATCTTTGACACTTAAGCTATGGAAGCAAAATCGGATTAAAATATTGTCCTCTATTTTTTTAGATCAGTTATACATCTTACAAATTCTACATTAAGATTAACCTAGTGCATAAGTTCAGAAATATAATACCTGACAAATTGATGTTTCAGGGTCACACATAGTACTGTGTCCGTGACATTGACATACAACACAGGCACCTAAGGACTGAGCAGGTACCCTTCCTGCAGGTGAAGATGGGAGCCTATAAAATCCTGGAGAGCATGACTGCAACAAAAAAGACGCAGAAAGAAACAGATCATTACAGAGCGGACTAGGTGTGGGGAGCGTTGCAAGCTGGTCTTTCCAACCACCAGTTTTCACAAGTTGTGAAAAGAGCCTGACAGGTTTCCAGCTGTGTTACAAACAATATACAGTACTTTACAGAAAACAAGAGCCAGCCCTAATTGGAAACATTGCTGAAAAAATCCCTGGAGCACTCCGCTAGCACCAGGCTTTTCATATTACAGCTTGAGAGACTGTTCATTCAGATGCAGAACACCTCACTGTTCGCACTGTGCATCAAGCATCATTCCTTTCATTTCTGAAGAATAAGGTTTGTTTTCGAAGTAAATTTTTTGCATGGACTGTAGAGAGCAAGCATGATGATTCTGTTTCCTTCACCCTTGGTGAGTTTTTCAGGTTTGACAAGCTAATATCCGCCTACATACTGCCTGATGGATAACAAGCAAAAGCTGAACGATAATAATAATAAAAAAAATGGCTGCATGGCTGCATTATTTATAGCCATATAATTTAAAGACTCTAAAAGTAAAGAATTCAAAATATTAAAGTTTTCCATGTCTTGGGACTATTAGCACCAAATCAAATTTATCTATCACTATGTCTGCTCTACCCCAGCTTGGCAACAAAATTCTGAGAGCAACCCAAAGATTACTAGCAAAGCTGACACATGCAAAATCAAGCACTTGATCTTTATTTCAGGCTTATTATGCAAATGTATAAAAGTATGTACATAACTCCCAGAAAGCCCACAGCTATGGCAGCGTAAAAATACTAACAGGACCATTTTGATAGTTCAGACCATTAGGGGTAAGTACACACAGACAAGTCACTCATCCCATGTATAAATCCCACCACCTAGTGGTGCTAGGAGCCTATTAAGGCTGGATGATGAGGCAATTCCCTACTGTTGACCACAATTTGTACTTTTTGGAAAGAACGTGAATAGTACACTCTCCACACAGCAATAAAATGGATACAAAATAAAAGAAAACAGAATCTGGAGTAAGTAACTTTTTGTGATCAAAGCAGGATTCTTCAGTCAAGCACTAGCTGACATGCTGGATTCTATTCATACAACATCACTCTGACAGTTTTCTAATCATCGCCAAAACCTCCAGGAGTCTAAGTTATGGAAAAAGCATAAACACAATTATTTTCTTTAGATTCACAAAGAAAGTAATCTAAGTCACTCTTGCTTTTCCCCTTTTATTTTGACTTAGACTACATTAAGATCCCTGAAGCATAGAAACAGTCTATCTGCTTTTTCATGGTTTGTGAAGAATTCCAATTTAGATAAATAATCTCAAATGAAAGTAATTCTGTTTCTTACTACAATTTCCTAATTTTTTCCTCTTTCTCCATCACCAGAAGAGTCCTTGTCCATACATAAATTGGTACAAACCACAGCTTTACAAGTTCTGAGTAACTTTGGGATTGGGGTATAAATATATGGTACATCCTCAAACCTAAACTCTGTTTTTTTCTGATATGCTATTGACACTCTTCTCATCTGTTTTGATCTAAGCACTTCCAAGATGAAACAGGACAAAAACAAAAGATAAAGCAGACTACATTTTTCATTACTAGTTTGGAAGTTTTTCAGAAGTAGTCATTAGGGAAACTTTTACTACTGCTTTTCAGCCTGCTACTGGACCAAAAAAAAAAAAAAAAGGCATATAAACGTCAATTCTGGTAAAAACTGCTGTGCACATAGTCCTCGCAATGCAATTACAGGATAAATCATGAAATAGATATGTATACCCTGTTAGCACTTGCTTAAAAAATGCCTGAGTATCAGATTCTTTTTTTTTTCCTCCTGCTGAAATTAAATAAACCTTCACAGAACGCACCATAACCTTCACTGAAGACCCTAAAAATAAACTAATTTATGAGCATGTGAAGATTGCACAATTAAGCACAAAGTATGAAGTTTACAACTGAGACATTTTTTCCAGCCCCTGATGTGAATTAAAATTATATTCTAATTACATTATCATATATTTTCCTTCAAAAATGCAATTTGTTACAGTAATTTTTTTAAAAAATCTGTACTTCTGAGCAAATGCTGGAGCCCATTAATTTCTCATATATGTATTTACACACAGTCAGGTGTATGGCCTTACAAAAACAGCGTGCAAAGAAAATTACTTCATTCACATTTCCTATGAACTCACTGTTCCCGTTGCCTCATTTGCTGCGTAACACAATGCTGTATAACAACTGAAGGGAGCATGGTTCTTGCAGGTAAAAAGGCATCTATCCCTTCATTTACTCACTCCAAATTTTCTCCCATTGCTAGCTTGGGGTAACCCTTTATAAGACTGATTTTCTATAAAATTTGGGCACTTTTGAGACATGCAATCTTCAGCATTAGATATGGAAAAATATGGGTATGCACTCTTCCATTAGATATGGAAAAAAAATAAAGTACATGTATAAGGAGCATCAAGCTCGCTTAGTTGACCAACACTTTTCTCCCAGTGTTCAATGAGTTAGAGATTCGCCAAACTTCAACGGTTCAAGACAAAAGTTTGCATTAGCATCAGATCTATTTCATTTTTTTTTAAGACACAGTGATCTGATTGCTTCTAAGAATAAAGCAAAATACACTATTTGGACCATGTTGCAGAATTTCTGCTCCTCTTTACAAGCAGCTCCATCTCTTAAAAGCTTTTGTGTATGGACTGAGCAAGACCTTCTTACGTGAGTCTTATATCAGCATTGGAAGAAGTATAATTGTAGGGGATTAAAATGGAAAGATATCTGCCATTACTCAGTGGCCCTTTTCAATACATTTTCATAGATCCGCTTGGATAAACTGTAAGTATTCAGAAAATTGACAGTTTGAACATGTGCAGGAGACGTTTCCTAAAGCTTTGAAAACGTCTTCCATGAAGCTTCTTTCGTGAAGCACAGACATGCTACAGAATGGTTCTTATAGAATCATAGAATCATAGAATG